ATGCGGAGGCGGCGCCGCCAAGTTAGTCCGATTCCGTCTGAAAGCGCGCCTGCGAGGTTGCCGCCAGCCATATACTCGTAAACCAGCGCGTGCTCGTATCGCTCTCCGAGGTAGTATCCGACGAGAGTCGTGAGGTATCGATGCCGGAGCTTGGCGAGCACTTCTACCTCGCGGTAGAATTCGCCGAGCTTCTTCTCGCGTTTGATGCGTTTGATTGCCACCTCTTGGCCGGAGGGAAGCTTTCCTAAGTAAACCTCCCCAGCGCCACCCGTGCCAAGGAGGAGCCGGTCATCGTACCCATTCGTTGCTTGCTTCAGCTCCGCCTTGGTGAAGATGTAAAGCCCCTCTCTGGGAAGAACAGGGGAGATGATTTCAGTGGAAGTGGCGAATTCGCCATCAGAAGTGTTGATCTTTCTCCGGCGTTTCCGGAAAAGGAAAACGAGGAACGCGACGACGCCGATCAAGGAGGTGGCAGCAGCGGTGGCGCATCCGGCGATGATTTTGGTGGTTCGGGAGCCGGAGACGGCGGAGGAGGTTATCGGAGGAGGAGGAGGAGAAGGAGGAGGAGGAGGAGGGGAGGGTACGATGTCACCGGTGCCCAGGTTGCCGATGTTTTGGAGGATCTGTAGCATGCAGAGGGCGAAGGAGCGGAAACGGGGGAGAGAGGGGTTATGCGGTGACCAGATAGCGATTGTGGCGGCCATGCCGCAGGGGACGATCTCCTTGCTGTTGGTAACGTTGAGAAGAGAGAAGGTAGAGTTGATGACGGCGGTCTGACATTGGGAGCAGAGGGATGGGTGAGAGTCGGGATTGAGGGGAGAGGAGGAGCAGAGTTTGTCGGCAGGGGAGAGATCGGTGGAGGACCGGATGAGAGAGACGTAGGGGAACTGACAGGGGCGGTTTCCAGCGGCGAGGCGGACGGGGTCGCCGTCGAGATTGCAGGAGGAGCTGGAGAGGAGGGAGGGGCGGGCAAGGCCTTGGTGGAGGAGGTATGAGGAGAAGCTGGAGGAGCAGGCGGAGGCGGTTGAAGGGGGAAGGAAGGCGGCTCCGGTGAGGTTGGAGTAGCGGATAGCGGCGTAGATGTAGGAAGCGAAGACGTACCAGCAGCAACTGGTGGCGGATGGAAAGGAGGTGGAGTTGGCGTAGCAGATCGATGGAAGCATCTGGGCGGCATAGGGGATGTCATAGGGACACGTGGTGTTTGATGAGAGGACGGAGACGGGGAGAAGGAAGAGGAAAAGACGCCAGCGGAGCATTTCGACGGCGGCCTCAGTGTAGGAGGAGGAGGAAGAAGAAAGCGGGGGTTTTTTTGAGGGGAAAGATGTCCGATTTAATTGGAGGGTGTTGGGGGTTGACTGAGCAGTCGGCGGGGAGCATGTTGATTGTCGTCTTCGACTGACTGAGATTACATATCAATTTGATGCTAATTTCTAATTAATTAAGGGCCATACGTTTTTTTGTCACATTACATTGGATTCAATTGTAATTTTTTTAAAAAAAAAAAATTGCCCTCATCATATTCTCATGAAATTAATCAAATTAAATTTTAAAGTTAAAATTATTTTAAGATAACTTAAATATAACTTTAAAAAAATTATATCAATGAATGAGCTTATTTTTATAGCATATGTTGATGATTTTATGTATAATGTATTATCCCTCAATACTATTAAATTATTAGATAATTTAACTAAATTATTAAATAAATATAAATAAATCATTTAATAATACAAATAAACTAAATCAAGTTATGTTCATGCAATGTTATAAACAAAGCTAGATAATTGTGGTGAAGAGAAGTGGTGTTTAATTTGAATTGATTTGATTATGAAAAATAATATTCTTAAGTCCATGGTTTAAAAGTTGCTGATAATTAAATATGTTCTAGGCTCAATTAGGGTCTAAGCTAAGGGGCTCTAGAGGTTTAAGTTGATTAAATATAAAATATTGGGCTCGAGGGTCAATTAGACTTAGTTATAGTTAACTTAGAATTGGCTAAAGAGTCCTAAGGAGGTCCCTAATGGTCAAGGGGCATGTATATTAGACCTAAAATCCCTAAGAAGGTTCAACTTTGACTATGTTAGCCTAAGATTAACACAATGCTAAGATTGGTGGTCATGTTAACCACTAAGTTGACCAAAGAGTTTGGATTGACTTGATGTGACCCATTGGGTTAGAAACAAAACCAAGTCAAGCTTAGGAGTTTAAAACTTAAGTGGACAATCTTTGGATTAGCCTTGGAGTGGGTTTCACAAAAATGTGGTATGAATGGTCTACATAAGGATTCGCCTAAAACCTAGCTAAACAAGCCTAAGTATCTCTAGTTTGAGCTATAAGCTATTATGGCTATGTACGGGATCAGACTGTTAGTGCTAGGGTGTCAAGAGCAAATTGATTTGACCATGAATTCAATCAAGGGAATGGTACTGAGTAAGATATAATATATGTGTAAAAAGGTCTTAGTTCAACCAAGTAGAGAGTGTGTGTATTGATTAGGTTAGTGGCTCAGTTAGTGATGAGCTTAGGTATATTAAAAATAGAGAGAGAGAGAGATTTAACTAATTTAATCATTACAAAATGTTAGAAGTTCATAAATTATTGAGCCTATAGATATTAAAAAACAATCAAATATATGTGCAAGAGATTGGGTGAACATAAGTTACTGAAAACCTATGATCTACGAGGCCCATAAATATGAATATTTATTTACACGTTTTATCGAGTTCCAACTTCTTCACTCAAAGTGGCATGGGATTCAAGAGATTATCCATATATTTCATCATCTATTAAAGCTTGTCCATCCTTTACCTCTTCCTTATGCGAGATATAATGGAACATTCCAGAGGATGATCATCTTCAAAGTTGGAAGAAAGGAAGAGAACGATCTACAAAGTTGGAAAATTTCAGAGGATGCTTATATTCTCTGCCATTTGAAGAGAATGATCTACAAAATGGAGAAAAAATATGAAGAAAGAGAAAAAGAAGAAAACATTAGTAAAGAATGTCCTTTATCCTATAATGCAGTGACACTTCTACTTAAATAGGCGTGCAATATCCGACACGACACATGTCTTACACTTCTCCGACACGTGTCAGACACGTCAAAATATGTCTGATTAAAAAATATTAAATACAAATTGGACACACTTGTCTGACATGCGTATTATAAATATTTTATGATTTTAAAAATAAAATTTTTTTGTATTTAAAATTTTTATTTATTTAAAATATAAAACCTAAATTTTTTATTTCTTATTTAAAATATCAAATCAATCACTCGCACTCAATACTTCATTCATCGAATATTCTCATTTTTATTTCTCTTTAGTGGGTCGTATTTTGGTTTCACAACAATGCCCAATTTTTTCTCAACATTGAAGTGTACGTCATTACAACATCGATATTTCAAAGCTATCTCAATATCAAAGTCTAACATTATTTAGGCATTGATACCCGAAAGTCTAACATTATTTAGGCATTGATACCCGACACTAGCAATTTCTACACCCACAACTTGACAACTCATCTTTATCTGACATCTTTTTAACATTGACGACCAACATCCTCTCAACATCGACGACAGATGCTCTCTTAACATTAACACCCGATACTTACTGCATAGCATCGATTCCTAACTCTTGATAGCATTGTTGCCTACTTTCTCGATGACTAATACACGACATCGACACCCAACTCACGACTTCCTAATATTAATAATTTTAAACATAAATTCTAAGTAAATGACTTGTTATTTTTAATATTATACTTATTCAAATTTTATACTTTTTTTTTTAAATTTGAAAATTATTATACCACGTACAACTCGTGTCTGTGTCCTATATTTTAATATTTGGCATGTCCCATGTTCATGTCGTGCCGTATACCTATCGCTATATTCGTGTCTGTGCATCATAGCCTCTATCCATATTTATATATGTATATGGCATTTACATGTATGGAGATGTCAACTCAAGTTAAGTCTACTATAAGTGATGTGACCATTAATTCGAATAATATTTAAATTCTCTTATTACTTGAAATTTCTTCAATGACATAAGAGAAATATAGAACTTAATATACATCCAAAATCACTTGTGTCATGTTCAAATCAACTCAAACTAATTTTGATGCATTGAGATAACGAGTCCTTCAAATTCATTTTGTTAGGGACAATGCTTCATTAGCCCCAAAGTTGATAAAAAAAGTCAGCATCACTATAGTGAATTTTTCGATTAGTCCCAAGCTTGAGAGATGACTATATAAAGTATAATGAAGTCATCAAATTAACTCACCCATAAACTTTGCTTTAGAGGTCAACTAGACATGTTCATCCAAAGCATTCAACATAATAATTCACAAGAACTAAATAAAAGTGTTTAAATCTACTAATGAATTATTGTGGGTTTGCCCTTTATTAGGAAAGACCTAGTATATTTTTCATATAATTAAAGAGTTATATTGAATGTATTTTCTTTTGATGAAAATATTTAATTAGATTGGATAATATAATTAATTCATGCATTTTTAAAATTTAGTATCTTTAATAGATTTATGCCTCTACCTCTTCATGTAAATAGGTGATTATTAGGAAAGCAAAAGACATAGATCACAATTTTAAAATTTTAAATTCTTTTAATAAGAAATCATGACTTTTTTTTCTAACTCTTTTCACTCTTTCATTTATCCACCAATTTTGCTAATAAGGTCATGATCTTGACAAGGACTGATTTAGATTCAATTTAATATTTTATTTATTTGGTTTACTGGGTTTGGTTGTATATTGACAAGCTTATAAAAAATATTATGCAATATAGCTTTATTTTGAGATATTGGAATAAACTTGCTATCATCATCATCAGCAGCAAATACAAATTTATTTATAGATGGCACTAGAAACTTACAAACAAGATAGTTTGAGAAAAAAAATAAAGAAAGATAGAGATAAAAAGAACAAAAAGAAAATCTCGTTGAATTTTCTATTGCCCAAAAGTATATAACTTGACAATTTGATATATTTTATAGATTGGAGTAGAGACATAACTTGATAGAAATATTATATATAAGAAAAATACATAATTTACATGACAGTCTATGAAGTCTTGCGCGCAATAGAAAGTAAAAAATGCTAGTTATAGCTCTTTAATTATATAATATATACATTAGGACTTAATTTCCTAATAAAGGGTATACTCACATTAAGTTGTTGGTTGACTTCATCTACTCTAGTTGACTTTAATTAGTGTCCTATCTCTAAGGGTAAAGCTACTCATCCACCTGAGCATCCTCATCTTTGCCACACTTAACTTAGTATTATGCTTCTCTTTTAATAGCCAACATTTGACACCATTTTGAACAGTTCAGATCGGCCTGGACGATCTCAATATCGTCCCGGACGATCCTGGGAGGAAAATCCAAGTCAGAGAGGAACAGTAAGGGAACGAGGTCTCACAAAAGCATTGCAAACCTCACCACCATCTTATAGAATTTTCTCTTAAGTTTGAGGGGTACTTTTTTATTACACAACAAGCCCGATGCATTCCTCCACTTCAACCATCCAACTTGAATTCTGCTGATAATATCCCCATCTATTTCACCATCACTCTGAACAATAGATCCAAGATATCTAAAACATGTACTCTTATTAATGAATTGATCACCCCAAAGTCACAATCCCATCACTAGATCTATTACTACTAAAATTATACTCCATATATCCTATTTTAGATCTACTCAAGCAAAAACCTTTAAACTCTAAGGTTAACCTCCATAATTCAAGTTTACCTTCAATTCCCTCTCTAATTTTATCAATAAGAAGAATATCATCAGCAAAAAGAATACACCAAGATACATCCTCTTACAAATGTTTAGTGAGAACATCCATGACTAAAGCAAAAAGATATGGGCTTAAGGCTGCTCCTTGATGTAACCCAACAGAAATAGGAAAATACTTGGTCAAACCACCTTGTGTTTGAACACAAGTAATAACTCCTGCATACATATCTTTAATGATTTGAATATAAGCGTTATTAACTCCTTTCTTTTCAAGAACTCATCATAGCATTTCTCTTGAAATTTTATTATATGATTTTTCTAAATCAATAAATATCATATGTATATCCTCTTTATTTTCTCTATTTTTCTCCATCAAATCTCTTAATAAATGTATCACTTCCATAGTCGACCTACTCGGTATGAATCCAAATTGATTTTGAGAAACATTAGTATCAAGCCAAAACATATGCTCCATAACTCACTCCCATAGTCTTAAAGTGTGACAGATTAATTTAATTCTTCTATAATTCACACAATCTTGTGCATTACCTTTATTCTTAAAAATATGATTTAACACACACATTCTCCAATCTAATCTATTATATAAA